CAGTGAACCGGGCGACAAGGTTGCTGAACTGCAATATATTTGACGGCCATTTTATAAGAAATGATTACGTGCGCAGCGTTTGTCAGTCGCTGCATGCGTCACCGCGACGAGGGACGAATGCACTTCCGTGTTAAGCATTGTTTTTCCGGAAGAAATTTGAACAAGTCGAAGACCACAATTTGAGTAGAATTTATTGACATCATAAAATTTCATGATATCTAATTCATTTGCAAACGGTCATTGCCCGTTAATATAGTAAATTAACTGTCCAATTAGAAGGGTCGCGTTTGTGTGGGTCCAGTTAGAGGTCACGAGATTATATGACGTCAATGAAGTCTGTTTAACTCGTGATCTACGCACTGTTCGCACTTCCGTTTGTTAAGAAAGCCTCTCAGGCCGTCAGCCGCATACTCACATCACTTGAAATTGGAGTAACACACAGACCGATGACAACGGTCAGGTGAGAGACCCCGAGGCCGAAGGACCAACAGCCTTAACAGGAAAAATCCGGATCTATTGCGTATTATGACCAAGCAACTACATAGGACAGACTGCAAGAACACAAACCTGAGATCTTGGCATATGAAATGGGACCCGGCAACACTTTAAAGTTCTATTAGGCCAAAAACTCGCACGGGGGGTTACAACCGCGTGAGCAGCGAGCTTCTTAAGTCACGCTTCTCCGGTCCGCATTGAATCAACAACTGTAATGACCTTCCGCCACCGTATTCCATGCTACGATGTAGTCTGGGAAAAATTACCAGGCAAGCTGAGAGGATGTACGTGACCAGCATTCACGGTGACAGCGAGCTTAATGGCAGAATAATCATCACGCTATGAATCAACAATGACGAGGAACTCACGGAAATAAGTAAATATGACGTGGACTCAAGAGTAGGTGTGATTCCAAGTGATGATCGCGAGTAGGCATGTGGTGGCCTTGCTACCGCGCCCTGCACACCTGCTGCCCCGCACTAACTTCGTCTGCGACGAACTCTGATGATGGTTTCCAGTTTGGACTCGAAACGTCAGGCTACCTAAGCTCTGATGAGAGTACCCGTGTCTCCATATTTGCAATCAAGAAAGACATTCACAGACAAAAAATCTTACCTGCCACGCCTATATCGCGTAAACCACAGCTTTCGCAGGAGCTCTTTGAAATCCTTCGGGGTGCGTGGCGCGAGACGGATAGAAACTAGATACTTGTGCACCTCTTTCATTACGGGACTGTTCATGAGAGCGTCGAGGAATGTGTCCTGCTCCTTCTTTTCGTCCGGCGTCTCCTGTTCGCTCACGCCAACCTCCGCCTTATAATTGTCAAGCAGGGCCTTAAAGGCTGTTTAAATGAGACCAAGATTAATCATCCACACAATAGTATACATACAGTATCTGGCCTAACTCAGAAAATACGAGGGTTGAGAGTTGAGGGAGGGGGGAGGCTTAGCACACACTTGAGGTTGTTTATTTTATGCATTAAAAAGTTTTGTGGCGCCAAATTCTGTCTACTACAAAAATGTTCAGTTCACTTCAATATATTGAGGGAAAGGATGGGTCAGCGTTGGTTAAATCCAACGTTTCTTGATACTCAGCGCATTTTTTATGCTATTGAATGCTGAGGACCAACATTTATTGTCTGTGCGTGTTGTATTATAAAAACAGCATTAATAAATATCAGAAATGTTTTAATAGTATATGTTCAGAGAAAAAAACATTTTGTGTTGCTTTCATAAAGCTAAGGGAAACGCAAGTAAAAGATAACGCATTATCTTCGGGAAAAAAGAGCAAATTTAGTTTAAAAAATGGTGTTTAGCAAATCTGCTACTTTTTGTGCCATAAGGTTAATTAATAAACCTATAAACTGTAAGTTATTTTATTGTGCCAAAAATAGGGACCGTTATCAATAATATATATGAACGTCCGCCAAATGTCATCAGTTCTCTTTGTTACGTCGTATGCAAAAAATTTGCAAACATGTACTGGATACAGAACAGAAACCATGAATAGAAAATATTGAAACGAAACGAGTAGAGAATGATTCGTGTTCTACAAATCGTTATTTATATTCTGCCAATCTGCTATCCTTTCGCAATGTTATAGCGTGACGTTATTTATTATAACTTGTTACCCTGGTAGGCCTAACATTTTATCAGACAGTAATTGCGTATTTCTTGGTCAGAGTTAGAGTGATTTGTTTCGTTTTCAGGAGTTGAGGCCTCTTTAAAATATTGCAACTTCTAAACAAACAATTAGTACTTTTTATATATTTCCAAGGAGTTTTAAATTCGCTAACGCTCTTCACTATTTTTGTAATATATTCGAACGTAAGTGAACGCCGGTTTGTGAGTGATGATCAATCTTTCATAGATTTCGGGATAAGGCATGAATTAGGGCCTATTCTGTGTCTAACGGCAAACGACAAGAATGAAGCCGAGGACTCTGGGCGCCGATATGAGTATACCTTTGCGAAAACAAACAAATCCCTCCGGTAGGTTAACATGGTCTGGTCACTTTCTTAAGTCGGTGCCCACATGCAGAAGCTTGGTCATGGCGGAATAAGCAGGAAAGTTGAGTTACTCACCAGTGTACACTGGCGACGTTTTCAATTTCTCAGCTGTCACTTTGCAGAGCTTTGCAGGTGATTGATCCTTCACTCGGTCGCCTCGGTTTACTTCACCTGAAGTAAAATATCAAAAAGGTAGGCATGAATTAAAACGATAATAATACAAAACATAATTATGAAAGAGGACGCTTAAACTGCCAATGCTGCTGACGTTGAGGATCTTGATGGATTGTTTTATGAAAATGGTTGGGAAAGAAGAAACCTTTCGTGCAAGCACTTGATAAATGCCCGTATCCGTATGTGGATCGCAGTCTCTCTGGAAACTGAGCTTATGGTCCCCGTCATTTGGGTTAGAAGCGTGCCAATTTAACCTTAATTGTTAAGTCAGTTGTCAGCCAACAGAATAACAAAACATTTTGTCCTGCTGAATGGTAACAAAAAAAAATCGGGCCCACGATACCACAGTACCCTCACCAATTTCTACGATGGGCACCACGTGCTCCAACAAGCCGCAGCAAACGCTGAAGCAAACCGAGGCAGAAACTAAGGCAAGCTAGGCAAGCTGCACGAAGGCTACAACAAGCAGAAACAACGCAGCGAACTACTGCGAATGAAAGCAAAAGTTAAAGCAGACTTGCGGGGAATCAACCCACTCGCTCCGCGCTCCCACCATTGTTTCCGGTGTAAAGACCGAGTCAATTAGACCGTAGGCGAGGGAGGGTGTAGGTGGCTGGCGCGATAGTCACTCAACACGCGCAGACTTG